AGAGAGAGAGAGAGAGAGAGATATGCCATATTTGGTTTTCAACTATTGAACATGGAGCTGCATTGACATCCCCATATCTCTGGGATTGAATTATATAGAGCCTTAAAATGGAAGATTCCAAAAGAAACATCTCTTAGGGACCAGAATCTAAAAGGATATTAAGGTATTTGTAATACTTCTTCCTTTACAGGCATGCAAACTTCAGAAAAAGAACATTTTTGGCTCTCACACAGGTATGCAATTGTTTTGACGGAGGGAAACAAGACATCGTTTTAGTTTCAACATGATTTGTTCTTCAGTCATTCCTCTTTTAAAGAAAGAAGTATCAGCTGAATGCAAAGTGACCCACATTTTGGTTTTTCCCTCACTGAAATGGGAACAATTTCACAATTTGCTCTTGGAGCCACAGTGAATCCCAATATCTCTGTAAATGAATGATACAGGGCCTTAATGGACATACTGAAAGAAAAGCTTATTAAGAATCCAAATCTAAAGGGATATTACGAGATCTTTTATACTTTGAGTTACAGGCACACAAACTTTGGAAAAAAAGTGCTATTTTTCTTTTTTTTTTTAACTGTCACCACTGGCATTTAATGCAACATGACTGCTAAAGTCAACAGATTTTACTAATAGACCGACCAATCTCTCTTTCTAAAGTCATTTTTTAAATTATTTTAATTTGGCTCCGAAACTCAGGTGAAAATTGTCATTTTGACTAGGGCTGCCACTAACGACTATTTTTATTTTGATTAATCTATCGACTAATTTAATTTATCGATTAATCTAAACGATTTCCCACAAAAAAATCAACCATTTTAAAGAACGTTTTATTAAACTTGCAACTTTGCCATTCAGTAGTGTACCATAAAAAAGCATCAAAGTAAACAAGCCGTTGACGAAATGTAAAACTAAAAGAGTAAAAATGTAAACAAACCTAATAAAATCAAGTATTAAAATTGTATTATTAAAAGTTATAATTAATACAATTTTAAGTATTAAAAGTACACTTAGAAATGTGTAAACAACAGATTTAAACAAACGTCTCCAGCATGATGAAAAAAAAATGAACAGAGGACTTCAGTAGTGAAACTCCAAATTTCTATTTTTTAAAGTAAAAGTAAAGTGCAACAGAGTGCAAGCAGCAAGTGTCCATCTTATAGTCCAAATCACTGAAATCAAAGTTCAGTATTATAGTGTATGCATTATAATGTAAACGGAGCCGCTGTGAGACGCACGTACGTAACCTACAAGCCTATAACTGCATCACATATAATTATTTAATTAAATCGTAGCGTTTGTGAATTCAGTTATGCTTAATTATGTGTTATAATGTGCTTATAATTATGTTTTATGGATTCTCTTCCGTGAAATGCGCCACTTCCGGTATTTTGCCGGTTAGTCGACGCGAGCAAAATGAAGTCGAGGATTTTTAAAAATCGAATAGTCGAATAGAATTGACGAATCGCGACAGCCCTAATTTTGCGCCGCCCCCTACAAAATAGTGAATTACTCAGTGAATGACATTTAATATTTTGGCTTTCATCACTATTTATGTTTGCCTTTCCTCAGAAAACATTAACAAAATCAAAACATTTTATATCAGTTTCTGAAGTTTTTTTATTGTATTTTTATGTCTGTATCGCCCAGCCTGACAGCAGCCATCAAGCACTGATGACTAGTGACCGTTTGCTTTAATTACAGATTTAGAGAAATACAATGCCACTGACCTGAGGAAGATGAAGATGGCCTGTCTGTACGACACTCCGTTCAGGTTGTCGTAGAAGTCCAGGTAAGGTTTAATACTGTCGATCAGCTCCGGATGCATTTTATCCATTTCATCAAAGATGAACAGGGAACGCGGGCAGATGGAAACATTCCCTCGTATCCACTCCTGTAATTGGGTCTAAACACACACAAACAAGCTTTTTGTACAAATATGACTATAAAACATTTGATTTAATCACCACACTGGATGCTTTGTGTTGGTGTGGTGAAATATATGTCATTTCCATGTATTTGCATATATAAACTCATTACCTTGTACGTGTCAATGTGAGCCTCATGGGGAAAGTGTGCTGTCGCTGCAAACAGGTGAACGAAGTTGCTCGTCATCCCTTTCTCGTAAATATTTTCTGCTATAATTTGGCTCACGAAGTTCTTCCCGGTCCCGGTCCAGCCGTGGAGGGACAGAACCAGCGGTTTCTTTGGGTTTTTGTTGTTCATGAAGCCGGTGACGGCTTTCAGGATGACCTGAGCAGCGACATGCTGCCCGTACAGCTTCGTGTTGAGGTCATTCTTCAGTCCTGTGGACGAGAGGACAGATTTTCAGCAATCATAGGATTTATACGTAACATCTGCACTTTAATTAATTCATTATGCACTGGACAACAAATTATGTTTGCTTGTTTACAACAGGGTTGTTATAGTTAACTGAAACTAGTTACTTGAAACATTAGGTAGTCCAGTCTAATAATAATAATAACAGCATATTTTACACAAAATGCAGAATCAATTATCAGTACAGTTTAATACAAATTTAATGAAAATTAAAATGTAAATAAACCACTTTTCTTTTATCTAAAAATGATCGATTTTACAATAAAATAAGAAATAAATCACTTTATAAAAAACATTAAATTAAATAATTGCCAAGGCATCATTTCTAATTTTCATTTAGTTGAACTTGATAACTAAAATAAAATAACTGAAACTAAAATGAAATGAATAAAAACTATATAGGCATATTTAAAAGAAGAAAAACACTCTACAAAATTACCAAAACTTGAACTAACTTTATGAAAAGATAAAATACGTACACAAAACATGAATAAAACTATAATATTATATCAATTATGCACAAATAACGCTGGTTCACAAAGGAAAGAATAAACATCACACATATAGCTGTGTTTTTAGACGCATGTTGATTCAATTCACAATCTGCTCAAATCAAATTTACTCCGAATGAACAAATCATTGAGATAACAAGACAAGCTTCTTTGTTTACAATTACAATTTGAAAATAAACGAATACAGGGGTTTTCAAACTGTGGGGCCAGCAACTGTCAAGGGGGGCGCGAGCATCAGTTAATTCAGAGACGTTCCCTTGAGAATTTATGAATACGAGTTAACAAATCTTTAGCCATCCACTAGGGGGCAATCTGACTCCCACTGCTAGTCGACAGTTAGAGCAGAGTTTGCTCGAGTATCAGTTATGCTCAGTGTTGCCAAGTCTGCGGTTTTCCAGCGGAATTGGGCTACTTTAACACTTGCCGCGTTTGCTAGTTTTGAATTAGGAGGGTTTGTTGTGAAAACCTGGCAACCCTGGTCACGTTTATTGACAGTGTACCTTTTCGAGAAAGTTTTTCCATTCTCACGTGTTTTAAGTCTTGTCAGTTTAAACATTAACGTAATTTTAAGCCATTTAAGCTCAAGACATCTCAATGCGGTACTCACGCACTGTGATAGTGTTTCTATGCGCACTGCTCACACACCTGAAGTGCACAAACAGATAGCCTTCTCAGACAGCAGGTGAATACCAATGGCTGTCTTGACAAGTATTCTTGTAAGCACAGTCCGTTGTTTTAAGTGAATGTAAACAGTGAAGAAAATATCAAATGTACATCAGTATAAGGGATCCGTGCATTTCTTATGTAAATAATGTTAATCAAAAAGAGCAAAAGAAAAATTGTTCGCTGCTTTAATAACTTTAATGGATATTTGCTTTTATGTTAATGTTATTAAAGTAATTCGGTGTGACTACAGTAATAACGGGGTGGGTGGGTGCGAGTGAAATTAGGCAAACTTGGGGGGGGCGCATGTCCTAAAAGGTTGAAAACCCCTGAACTAATTAATACATTTGGCTGCAATAGTTAACTACAAAATAATTATTTGCATTAATTTTTTATTATAAACAGAATCGTAACGAACGAAAGAAACAAATGTGTACAAGATGTGGATTGTGAGAATGCACAAAGCACAGATAATACAAACACTGATCAAATGTTCACCTGTTGCTTTAAATTTGAGCCAGTTCTCATCACACGTTTCGTATAAATAGTGATAGAGTTTCCTGCCCAGCACTGCAGCTCCTGTCCCCAGCAGCAGCGAGGTGGACACGGGCTCTATGGCCTCCACGAGCAGCCTTGAGATCAGGATGCAGTGCAGTACGGTTATCCATGCGCGAGGCGGCCGAACTTTCATTGTACTAAATAGATCATCGATATTTTTAATTGGAAAATGAAAGGAAAAACAACAACAGCGCAGGGTCCAACTAACAGCCCCGCCACTTCCTGTTTGGGGAAAAGTGACGTCGTTTGCGTGCGACGCATGACGCAAGCGCGCAGCGTTCGGTTCAATGGCGCACGATGTTGCGTTTTGACCTTTGTTGCAATTTTTAGAACAAAGAACATAAGGGCAAAAACATTTAAACTGAATGAAAACAAATACTTAAAATAAATAAACTAAATAAGAAAAGCAATAAAAAAATAAATTAAAAAAAACACGTCTGTAAACAAGTACAAATAATTACAAATTATTCAAAGAATAGATTTAAGGCTTTAAAGTAATTTAGTTTTTTTTGCTTTATTTCTTGTTTCTTTTAACGTATACAAGTAGTGACCAATTTCTATTCTGAAATGAGTAAAATTTGGTTTTCACTGCCCATTTACCTTTGTGAAAAGAATTTCATATATAATGAGTAAATTCACAATATACCAAATCTTGAAGTCAACAGTATACATGAACATAACAGTATGCATGAAATAAAACATCCTTTTCTTTGAGTTGCAATTCAATATTAATACTTTAACAAAAAAACCCAAATCACACCAAAATAATTTTGTATAAATACAATCATAAAATAAATGAACAATACTCATTTTCCTCTTTACAGAAAACACACTTCAAGTCAATGTCTTTACAAAACTTTGCAATTACCTGTTTTTCAGGATAAATACGATGAACGATCTTGTATGATACTTCTCTCATTTTATTTGTGATACAAAAACGTCTGGAGATCTTAAAGGTTTCTTTCCAGTTGACACGTTGTTGCGTTTTGGTCACTGGGTCAAAACTGTGAAAAAGTGCTTGCCATGCACTACAAAACACGTTTACATATTATTAGATTAGTTATAAATTTTGGCTGACTCATCTATTATAATATATAATATACATTATCAATTCATATAAATTACTTGCGAACAACTACAAGTCAATAAGCAGCATCACAACCCTGATCGTACATCACGGAGATTTACATTTGACATCTGCAAGACGTATTTTTATGAGCGTCTGCTCATCTGCAAAATGTCCTATCAGATGTCAAATAGACATTTAGAAGCTGTCTTTAAGATGTTTATGATGCAAAACTGACATCTTGGAGACGTCTATCAGATATTTGTACACAGCACATGCTTTCCAGATCTTTAACAGACATCTTGCAGACTTATCTGTGCACAAAAATGAGCGCAATAATACATGCCTATATGTGCATAGCATAAATGCACTAGATATGAGGTGCAATGCAAATATCAGATGTATGATATGTAGCTATTATGATATTAAGTGTCAGGTGCATTATACACACACCATACAATACAAGTGTCTGATTAATATTAATAAATTATGCATGTCTTGGCTGCCTATGTTTATGGCATTTAAATGCAGGCATCAAAATGGAATTAATTAATTGTAATAAAGATAAATGTGGATATAAGGAAAATGTGGATACCATAAACACATCCGTACTTGCGTTCTGAAACAAATAAAGCTCTTGCGGACCTGTTTTGTTGCATGAGATCCACTCCGTTCTGCAGCACTCCTGAAAGTAATAGAGCACGTTCTGATAATGGGCCAGGAACCCGGTGAGGGCCACGGCCATCCCGACAGCAATGCTGGTGCTGATCGGCTCTATCGCCGCCGTGACCAAGAAACTCCACAAAACACAGCCAGCGAACAGCACGCGACATGCCAGCCGCATTCTGCACTCTGACACCGAGCAGCGAAACCGATTCTAATCCGGTTTAGTAAATAATGAAGAGCAACTTCCGTAAACCGAATCAAAAGCGTTCCGTTCAGAATCAAGCACGAGCTGCGAGAAGTTCCACGCTAGTGACGTCACGCGGATCAATAGAGTTGAAATGCTGTTGTGATTTCATTGTGTGTTCCTGTCATTGTTCTAGTTAATTTATCCAAGTTACTCATCTCTCTCTCTCTCTCAATTTCAATTTAAGAGTGCTTTATTGGTGTGGCATCCTCACGGAGCAGACAGAGGGAAAGGGGTTCAAAAGCCAAAATAAATCATACCCTAAAGGGGCAAAAACACTGCATATTTTGATATTCGACTACGCCACCCTGGGAATTTCACCCAGAGAATATGACCAGCGCACAGGTTCCCTACTAAAGACAAGGAGAATGGAGACACAGGTATTTAATACAAAAATACAAAAGTTTATTATGATTCATCAAAATAAAATCTGAGGCACATGAAAAAAAGGACAAGCCCCAATCATTCAAATGTTTAAAAGAACAGAAGCTGCAGCCTCTCTCAAGAAATGCCCGGGCAAAAGATAGACACATTCCCCTCACACGCACTGCACACTCACAGTACCCGGGCCCCAGTGAAGTGATCAGTCACAGCACACGGTGTAAACACCACCACCAAAGAAGAGAAGGGAACAGTCAATTTCCTACGCAATAAGGCCGCCGCTCCTAGAAACAAACAAACGGAATGCGCAAAATAAATCAGAATTAAAAAAAAACAAAAAAAAACACACAAATGTATTATACACAATTCACAAATCAACAATCAAATCAAAATTAAATAAATCAGGATTTAAACAAACAATTCCTGACCAAACAGTCAAGATATACATATATGTATTAACAGGAAGAAAAACAGAAAGAAGTGATGAGGGTCTCTCTCTCTCTCTCTCTCTCTCTCTCATCTGTTGAACTTGTGACCGTTTTGTTTTACTTTTTCTTATTTTGCTAAATGCAAGATTTTGAGTTTAACTCATTGAGTATTATATTGTTAAATACTTGTGGCTTGAGAGATCTCACTAAAGAAAAGCCTTATTCTGCACACTTATACTTTTATTCTGCAGAAGAACAAATGCTGACCTGATACTGTAACAAAAAAAAACTCATCCTTGCGAGAGTGATGTTAGATTTGGAAATCGCAGTGGGGTGATAATGCTTACTTTAGCCATGGTTTTTAGATAAAAAAATAAAGATATAAAGGAATATACCTGGAGTAATACCTGTCCATCTAGAATTGATTGAGTTCTCAATCGATTCTGCAATATGTGGTGGATGTCACTCACCAATATGCTCCTTTTTCTAACCAATTAAGCTGAATATACAAACCAAACGTGGGAAGAACACTTTACATGGCTATTGGAAGTTAAATATTCGTGGAATATGTCAGGGTTGCCCTTTGAGCCTAATATCTGTTGATATTTTGCATAGTCTTGTTGCCTTGATATCTTCAACAGAAAGATTTGAATCTCACAATTAGCTGATGATACTACTTTATTCTCAGGATAAAGAGCACGTTACTCTGGTCTTTCTCTAATGCTTCTGGACTCAAACCTAATTTATCTAAATGTGAAATGATTTGCTTAAATGAAAATGAAGACAATGACATTGAGAATATTTTTGGATAGGCAAGATAGGCAGCCACATTTACATATACAAATAAAACAGCATAGTTACAACATACATTGCAAAACAAAACAAAACATAAAACCGGTTAAAAACAATTGCACACCATTAAGTTGCTCTCTAGATTACATAATAAAAACTTCAAATAAGTCAAGTGAAGTCAAGCCAAGTCTGCTTTATTGTCAATTCTTCCACATGTACAGCACATACACACAGAGAATTGAAATTGCGTTACTCTCAGACCCTTGGTGCATACAGATAACACTAACAGTAGAACATACAGTGGGTACGGAAAGTATTCAGACCCCCTTCAATTTTTCACTCTTTGTTATATTGCAGCCATTTGCTAAAATCATTTAAGTTAATTTTTTTTCCTCATTAATGTACACACAGCACCCCTATAAGACACCAAGTTTTGTAACTTCATCTCCTTTTGGAGGAGATTCGAATCTGAAGTGGCAGCATATTTAAAATATCCCGCTCTTTAATAAGATCACATAGTTGAGATCCATGGACTATCCCAGCATTTGCAAAGAAAGGAAGTGATGGGGGTCTTGAAGTTTTGGATTTTGATGATACTAACAACACATTCAACGGCTAACTGGTTGCTTGGAACAGATTCTATGTGGTATTTTATTCCTAATATTTTTAAAAGGGTAGGTGCTGAAGTGTAAATACTCCACTGGTAATTTGCTTAAGTTGGCTCGATTTCATCACAAAGCACTGTTAGCTTGGAAATTGGTTTACAACCACAACGTTTCCCCACACAAAACCATATATTATGGAATAATTCAGATATTAAAATTAGAAATAAATAAAAATAAAAATTTTTTGGATAAATGGTTTAATAAAAACTAGGGCTATCAGCCGATTAAAATGTAGCAAATTCTACTGTGATATGATTGGCTGATTGAGTGCTGATAAGAACACATGTGGCCTCTTATTAATTAAAACACGTTGGCATGTGAGGAGTAGTATCTCCATTCAGACATGGCCTGTGTAGAATTGTGTTGTGTTGCTGATTATGTAAGTTTCTTCTGCTTGTTTATTTGATTATGTATAATGTGATTATTGTTTGTATATACTAATTGTTTCTATTTGTTTATGGTTTGTCAGAAACCAACAATTACCATCACTTGCCTACAATGATGTTTACTCCTGCATGTGTAATTTAAAAGCCACTATTGTGTTAAATGAGAAAAGTAACAAGTAGACATTACAAAAAGTAGCTTTACAAAGAAATATTTTATTTGGTTCAACATAAAATTTATTACACAAGTGTTTAGTCTATAATGGCCTAACGTAAAGTCAAATACTAAAATTTGAGAAACATCTCAGTATTTTGTTTGTTCACAGTTAAATACACTGGTAACTACCAAAACAATTTTTTAAATAAATGAAATTGTCCTCTAAATAAGAAACTAAAACTGTCAGCAGTTGGCGGTAAATGTCTGAATAAGTCATTGAGTTATTCATTCCTGAGTGAATCAGCCACTTGAACTATAGACTGTAATTCTTCTTCCTTCCATTAATTGTATTCTGTATATATTTGATGATTCTGGTAACTTATGAGCAAATATGATGGTTCAGTTCTGTCAAAGGAATATAATACTTTGATAAAAACAATCCCAGTTGGTTAGTTCAACTAATTAAAAGTCAACCAATGTTGAGTGAGGGAAGCCTACATAAGGCCCGTGTATGTGTGTTAC